ACTGTTATGAATCGTAATGTAAATATCTGATATGCAGAATGGTCTTAGGCGACCCCTGTGAAAGGGTCGTTAGACCACCAAAGGGGTCGCGACCCACAGGTGAGAACAACTGCCTTAGAAGGACATCACACACACAGGACCCTGTGACAACAGAAGCAGAGATTAGGGCGATGCAGCTATAAGCTAAGGGACACAAGGATCGCCGGGAGCCAACAGATGCTAGGAGAGAGGCATGGCACTGATTCTCCCTCTGAGCTTCCACCAACACCGTGATTTCGGACCTCTGGCCTCCTGAACTGTGAGAGAATAAGTTCCTGGTGTTGTAAACCACTCAGTTTGTGGTAATTTGTTATGACAGACCTAGGACACGAACAGTGTTCGGGAGGGACACAGCAAGTGCAACAGCCCTAAGGTGAAAGCATTTGGGGGAAAACCAGTGGCAGAAACAGGTGAGTGAGGAGAGCAAGTGGTGAGAATTGACATCAGAGATCTTACGGGGGCCGGATCATGTAGGGCCGCCCTGGTGGCAAGCCCTTGACAATGAGCTGTCACACTTCAGACAGAGGGTCCCAGCTGGAATGGGCTGCAGTGGTAGCTGTGCCTGGCCCCCATGATCTCTGTCCCCTGGTGTTATACCTTTGAACATGTTGCACAAAATGGCAAAAGGAAATTACGATTGCAGATGGAATTTGGGTTTCTAATCAGCTGACCTTAAAATAGGGAGATTAAGTTGGGTTATTCAGGTGGGCCCAATGTAATCACATAGGCCCTTAAAGTGGAGAAAACAAGAGTCTGTGAGAGAGATTCAGCCAAAGAGGAAGCAGAGGGGATTCAAAACATAAAGAGTTCATCTGCCATTGCTTAGCTTTGAAGATAAGAAGGTGGCCACAAGTCAAGGAATGTGGGCAGCTTGTAGATGCTACCACAAAGGAACAGGGACCTCAGTCCTACAACTGCAAGGAACTGAATTCTGCTAACAACCTGAATGAACAGGAATCAGTTTCTTAACTTTAGCCTGATCAGACCAGTATCAGATGTTTGAACTATAGAACTGTGGCAAATTGTTATCTCGGCATAGAAAATTAATCCAGGGGATATAAAGAGAAGAGCTGGCTTCTGGAGAAGTAGCCCACTGAGAGCCGCCACCACGGGGTCCACACCGTTCCAGATACCTCCCCACCATCTTGTTTGCTTTGCTTAGCACTGTCTTCCAGGCCCAGGTTGCCCAAGTACTGACTAAACAGGCTTAGATGTCCCCAGGGGTCAACCTCTAAGTCCTGGTTGACTTAGGTCAGGCTAAGGAGCAAACCCAGTGAAAGTCCTTCCCATTCTGAGAAATGTCGTTAAACCTCACCTTGACCCCATCTGCCATAAAGCCAATGAGACTGGTCCTCATGGAACAACCAAGCTGACACAAAGCCACCACTGGTGCTACTGCTACATCTGCTAGTAGGTCTGCACACACAGACACACGTGCATACACACGCACACACATGCACGGCCATATGTACGAACCCTGACTTTCTATCTGCTCTTTGCCACAGTCTTCTATCCACTCAAGTCCCCAAGGCAAAGAGAACCAGCCAGCTGATGGTTAACGGGTATTGAACATGAACTCAAATCAGGCACCGTAAGATGTGCTCTACCCATATGATCTCATAAAATCCTCTCTACAATCCTATCAGGTAGAGACTACTGACTCAGAGTGGTTAGGATGCTTGCCTAATATCACACAGCTGATGAGTAGTAAATAAATCCCAGGACCGGAACCCAGGATTGTCCAAAAACCCAGGCTAGAACCCTCACTACTCATGGTGAGGTACACGGACCAGCAGCAGCAGCATCACCTGAGACCTGACACTCACCCAGACCTGCTGAATCAGAAGCTGCATGTTAACCAGTTCCCAGGCGATTCACTTCCCTTTGCGGAGCTGAGAAGCACTGGTTTCCCAGGTCTGCTGGTTTCAGGTTGTTGTAACCACGCCCTTCCCGATCTCTTAAAGCCCTTCCTCAGCTGCCTGGCTCTTGCTCCCCAGGTGGGGAGGCCCTCTGCCCAGACTTGGGGAACAAGCCTGGACCCAGAGCTCAGGAGCAGTCAGCGCAGGCCACAGCTGGACAACATCTAGCCATGTCTGGCTCTCGTAGGGCGTGCTGCCTGCTGCCTCAGACTCTCCTGGCCCCTCCTTCTCATCTTCCTTCTGGGACGCAAGTCTTTTGGCCTCCATCTAATTCTCTTAAAGAGGGCCTCTGGCTGTCACCAACCCCTGCAGTGTCTCCCCCTCTTGGACATTTGTACCCCTCTCTTGCTCCTAGAATGCCCCTGAGTCATGTCACTCCCTCTAGCTCAGTGGTCGGCAAACTCATTAGTCAACAGAGCCAAATATCAACAGTACAACGTTTGAAATTTCTTTCGAGAGCCAAAGTTTTTAAACTTAAACTATATAGGTAGGTACATTGTTATTAACTTAATTAGGGTACTCATAAGGCTTAGGAAGAGCCACACTCAAGGGGCCAAAGAGCCGCGCTCGCGAGCCGCAGTTTGCCGACCACTGCTCTAGCTGGACACCGAGGGCCTGTCCAAGTTGCCACCAGGAGAGAGGCAAGCGGCTGCTTGGGAAACCTGGCTATGCTCACAGGAAATGTCTGACACCACAAGGCGAGCAGGATTTGGCCTCCCAAAGCAAAACACAGCTGGGCCGACAGCGGGCCACTCGGACTTTCCCAGATTTCATGGCACTGAGGTCCCAGAGCAGAGAGAGACTGCTGGCCTGGAGGCTGCAGCTCATTAAAAACATCACAGTAGCCCCTGGCCAGGGAGCCTGTGAAGCTCAAAGAGGATGGCCCTGCTGTGGGCCACGGACCTCACCCTGGGCCTTCGCCCCCCTCACCCCCCGCACCTCTTGCACATGTGAAACCTTCGCTGGGAGATCAGGGGCTCCCTAGCTCATCCTCCTTTCCCCCCAGCTTCCTCCTCTCCCAAGCATCAAGCCTCATTCATTTATTCATTCAACTTCTGCTGATTGAGCACCTGCCGTGTTAGGTACCAGGGCCACGTTCATAAATGAGTGGATAGAAGACTGTGGCGAAGAGCAGTCCCTTGTTCTCAGGAGCTCCTGGTCCAGTGAGCAAATAAACAGACCACCCCAAGGCAGAGTGAAGAATGCTACACAGGGAGGCAGGGGCCTCCCCTCCTCCTGCACTCTGAGCCAGGCCCTCAGTTCCAGGCACAGGGTGAGGGTTCAATGCCAAGTCTTCAGTTTGGACCAACTGATAGAGTACTAATGCAGACTGAGTGCTCTCTATAAGCTAGGACCATGGGAGGAGCTGCGGGGAAATCCAGGGCGTGAGACGGAGTCCCTGCCTCCCAGGGCACAGGCCACACAGTCTGATTGCAGACACAGGGCACAGACCCACAGAGATGCATGCCAAGTGTGTGCTGCAGGAAGGCAGGCCGCTGGGTAGAAGTGACTGGGGAGGAGGGGTTGGAGAAAGCAGGAATGGGCCTTGAAGAATGCGAGGAGCAGGGTGGGCTGGCAAGATGGGGCAGGGGATGTCACAGCTCTGACTCAAGGGTGTGAGTAGAGAATGACCTGCCTAGCAACCACCCTCCAACACTTGCATGCAAGCACCGCACCCACCCACACACACACACATACACTCACACACACACACATACACTCACACACATACGGAAGATCAGCGCATCATGAAATGAATGAATCACACAAGCCAAAAGAGAGGTTGCAGGGGAAAGCTCAGCTGAAAGGACTCTGCTCCCAGCCTGCTCCTGGTTGGCCCTGGAGCTGGTACCACTAGGCCTCCCTCAAGTGCCTTCCCCCCACCTGGGACCCTCAGCTGGGACTAATCAGAACAAGGCTCAGGCCCTGCCCCTGCGTTGTCCACCTAGCTCTGCCCCTCTCTCTGTCCAGCATCCCTGGGCCTTGGCCTAAGGGTTTGGCTCTTCTGGTTTTGACCTTGGAACTCCCGGGGCCTGGACCTGAGTTCATCCTTCAGCTCTTTCTGCTCCCGGCTGCCTTTGGAAACCACCTGCTTGGGTGGTCGGGCCTTGGAACCCCACCTTACCAGGACCCTGGTCAGCCCGCCCCCTCTTCAGAGTTGCTAGACAATCTCAAGCTCCTTTCCTTTCTCTCCCGAACCTTCCACTGGGACCCGACCTCCCCATCAGCCTTCTCTCCCTGGTTCTCCTGGCCTCCAAAGGGCAAACCCCCTTTTTCCCCTTAGTTCAGCAAGACAAGGTTGCAACATTTCACAAAGAACTTCCCAAGTAGAAAACGAATGGAAAAATGAACCTGAAAAACCAAAAGGAAAACACAGCTCTCTAGAAATGGACCAGTTTACAAAGTTCAGATTTCCTGTCCTGAGCTAGAAAAAGTCTAGCCAGTTTAGCTGGCAAGCAGGCCAGGGAACCCTGCCCGTGAACACTCTCTTTGCCCACTTTTTCTTTTACTCCCTTCCCCACATGCTCCTGCTTGGCCCCTCCAAGGAGAGAGGTTAGCGTTGGGTGGCGAGTCCTTCCTGCATCACAGAGACCACAGGTAGAGAAGGGGGAGGAGAAGGCAAGACATTTATAAAGAGTTTACTATGTGCCAGGCCCTGTGCTAAGCCCTTTCCTTGTGTTGACTAATCTAGTCTTATAACAACTCCATGATTGTGGTTATCATCATGGCCTCCACCCCACTGAGGAGGAATCAGAGAGGTAACTTGCCCAAGGTCACCCACCTAGGAAGCGGCAATGCCAGGAATGGAAACAAGAGAGCCTGGTCTCCTCAGCTTTCTTCTACCTCCCGCCTCCCCTGCCCACCTCAGCCTGGCAAAGCCTATGCCAACCCCAACCCCAACCCCTGTTCTCCTGCCCTCCACACCACTGGTGGGGGCAGGGAGGGGGGAGGAAGGACAGCCCGGCCTTCTCCGAGACCGTCACCAAATGGTCCTAAGGAAGAAGCCCCCGGCCCCACATCCCCCCTGAGGAGGGGACTTACCTGGCTGGTGGCAGCTGTGGTGTCAGTGGCCGTGCTCTGGCCGCTGTGCTTTCTCTGGCTGCGCTGCTCCTGCGCAAGTTGTGTGAACCCTCGGCTGAGCGTCGGGGAGCTGGCCTCGAGTTCTGGGGGTCAAATTCCTCCTCGGGGATGACCTCCTCGCAGCGGGCTCCGCGGAAGCCAGAGCGACACACACAGAGTTGGGGCCGGCTGCAGGAGCCCCTGTTCTGGCACGGTGGCTGGCACACAGCTAGGGAGACAGGGAGAGGGGTGAGGGCAGGGGCAGGGGGCCTGACACCCACTTGTCAGAAGGGCCCCTTGCCTTGTGCTGCTTGGCCTCCTCCACTTCCGCTGGCCTCCGAAGGCTCCCTGGCCCCATTTCTCTCTCCCCGCCACCCACAGGCCTCCGGGGGAGGTTTGCCTGTCATCTTTGGACAACCAAAGAGGGAATGACCAGAGGTGTGGAGGCGCTCACACCGCCACCTCCAGCAGAACCTCCTGACATTGTGCTATGCACTCAAGACCCCACTTTGTTGTGTCTCTTTACCATGAAGGCAGAGTTCAGATGTTTTGTTTTGTTCCCTCTGGTAGTTCAAGAACTCAGAATAGAGACTGTCAGAGTAGACTCTCAATACTGAATGAATGAATGAATGAGTGAATGAATGAATGAACAAACGAATGAAGAATGAGTCTGCTTCATGGGAAAGGGCTCAACACTGGCCTGAAAGTTGGGGGTTTGAGTTGTTGGTCTCCCACGAGTCATGTGATCTTGACCTCACTGAATCTGTTTCCTCATGAATCACATGAGGATGGGCTAAGGGGGCTGGGGGATACTGAGGGTCTTTCAAAGGCATCTTCAGCGCGACAGTCCCTCCTCTTCTTCCTCTTTTGAAATCATCTGCTCTGAAGCTCCCACCCTGCTTAGCAAGTGGTAGTACTCCTGACTGGGAGCTGGGAGGATTCTCTGTCCTAGGCCCTGGGTCCAGCCTGGGGGTAAAGTGGGGCTGACCTGGACCCCTTCCTGCAAGCCAGCACTGTGCAGCAGCCACTGGCCACAGGGGCCATGACTTCTCTTCACTGCCCTTCATCACCTTGCAACATCAGAGCCCCTACTGTGTGCTAGGCACTACAGACAAAGTCTTTGTCCACATGGAGCTTGCAGTCGAGTGAGGGCGACCAAGAAGAAACAAGAAAACAGTAGCATAATGTTGCTTCAGGCAGCAACAGAGTCACCTCCAGTGACCAGTAACCAAGGGAGAGTCATATACAAGCACACACTGGAGTGCTGGGCCCTGCTCTTCTCTCCCAGGACCTCCCCTGGGAACAGGTGGGAACCCAGGAGAGCACAGTCAGGCTCATGCTGGATCCTCTAAACCCAGTGTCTCCTCCGTCTGTCACTCATTCCTTCAACAAATATTTGCTGAGCCCCTACTGTGTGCTAGGCACTACAGACAAAGTCTTTGTCCACATGGAGCTTGCAGTCGAGTGAGGGCGACCAAGAAGAAACAAGAAAACAGTAGCATAATGTTGCTTCGGGCAGTATCACAGGTGATGTACTGGTCTGTGTCCAATCAGGCGCTTTAGATGCAGTGGTCAGAGGAAGCTGCTCTGAAGAGTGAAATGTGACTGGTGCAAAAGAGGCAGACGGGCAAAGCTATGGACAGACTCCTTCAGGCAGAGGGATAGGCAAGCACAAAGCTCTGGAGCCTGGAAGGAACATGGAATATCCTAGGAGTTGTGAGAGGCCCAGGGATGCTGGGGTCTGGTGACAGAGTGGGAGTGTATTCAGTGAGAGAAGCAGAGGCAGATTTTGCAGCCCCCACCTAACTATCTGCCAGGTCCCTGTCACTAACCCCCCTCCCGGGAGACCAGCCCCACAGCCAAGCCGGGGCCAGCAAACACTGTGGAAGGAGGTATGCCCAGGCCAGGTCTCTGCCCGGTTTAGGGAGGGAGTAGAAAGGGAAGGCCTGAGTGGTATTATGTGGACCACAAACGCTGTATCACTCCTAGTCCCTCGAAGCCACCCCTCTCTCCTGGCAGAGACTCAAAGCATGGTGTGGGCAAGAGGAGGTCATGCAGCAGCCCCCTCCCCCCAGTCTAGGTGTTGCTTCCTCCTTTGAGTGGGTGGTCCCTGCCTTTAAGATGGCCTTTTGAAACCAGTCTAGCTTCCTCCCCTCCCCTCCTGGGCTCTGAGGACAGCCCATTAGTGACTCTAACATCTTCCATTCTCTAAAACCTACGGCCCCAAATTCCTGACTCACAGTGACTCGCTTACTTCTGGCTCTGCCTTCCTTGCCAATACATCCTGCAAACAGTTAGCAAGCACCCTCTTGGTCCTAGTGGGTCCCGGGGATGCAAAGACAACAAGACTGGTCCTGCGTGGAGGAAGCTCTGCCCCGTGGTGGTTTCTCATAACGACAGAAGCCCCGTGCCACGCAGGGAGTTAGGTCCTCAGGCAGAGCAGGGTTGGCACGCTTCGCTTGGTACAACGAACAGCTCATGGAAAATGGGTAGTTGGGGGGGGGGATATAAACATGGCATTTAATATGTATATAACATTGTGGTAAATAAAAATCCTAAAAGGGTTCCAAAGCAGCCGGGTTGTTGGCGGAAAAACCTCCGTGGGAAGATAACCTTTCTGGATCAGATCTTCTCGGGAAGGTTTTCCAGCAGGTTTCAGGTTTGCAGAGGTGCTGAGCCAGCCCTCCCGGACTTCATTTGCATTCGCTCTTGAGTTGTTTTCATAAGTCTCAGCAAGAACTGACTTCCGCGCTAAAGTAAACACTTGAGTGCGGGTCTGAGCTGAGCCTCTGCATTAGGGGATTGGAGCATAAACTCCTCTCCTCTCTCTCCAGTCCCCGCAAATCACCTCAAAATGGCCCCAAATGGTGGCTCCAAGTGCCTATGAAAGGGTACATTCTTACGACAGTTTTTACTGGTCTACCATAAAATAAGGGAAATAAAAACAGTTTCCTGAGCTCTTTGTAATGCCTTTTCCCCCATTTAAAAATGTCTTTTATTTTGAACTTATATCATTTTTTTGGTTTAATTAAAATGTTCTTTTTTAATAAAGATGGATGGCAAATGGTAGTTTGTTTTTCTAACACCCTCCAAGTGGAAAGCTGGCTACTGCACTTTGGTGCCGAAGACGTTTTTGGATATTTTACCGGTGCATGAAATCCAGAAGTTAGGGACACTTTGGGAAGGAGGGGGCAATAGTGTCACGTATCCTTTTGCTTGAAGGAGACTGAAGCAAAACATTCCTCTGTCAAATGAGTACGTATTTCAAAACTGAAGGATCTGAAAGGAAATCAGCCAACTCAGAATGGCCTATGGCAGGGGCTGCTGTTGAAAGCAAATAAGGGAACACCGAGGTCCGGGAGAGACCGTTCTGTGCAGCGCTGTGGGGATTTTCAGTGGGAAAACTCCCAAACACGGAGGGCCCAGAAGCCTTTATGTTTTACTTCTAGAGCCTCGTCACTTCCATTTTTCCTCAAGAGCAGAGGTTGTGCCTTACCCTTGAGAAATTGCCCCAGGATGGGGGATGAGGCTTGAGTGAGTCTTCATTGACTGATTATTGGTGAAATGTTAGGAAGCAGGAAGCCACGATGTCCAAGTTTGATTGATTATTGGTGAATGGTTATCAAGCATGATGCCACACTGTTCGTGTTTAGCCATCGAGGACACACCCTGGCCCCTCCCTGATGACAGCCGGCATCCTCAGACAACCGAAAGGTGATGGATGCTGTTACCAGCCTCCCTGTGCCCACTGGCCCATGCCAGGCCTTGGCCATTCATAATTTGGACTCCTCCATACCTCCCTGGCAAGCTCTTCCTCACTGAGGATTGGGCATGTGGAAAGTTTCAGCTTTGGGAGTTCAGCTCTATGGAGTTAGCACAATGCCAAAAGAAAGGGGAACAAAAAGAAAACTTTCAAAATTGCTTTGAAAGTAAGAAATAGAAGGCATTGCTCCTCCAACCCCCTGCCTTCTGGCTGTGCCTCTTCTACCTTCACTCTGCTCCAAAACAACAAAGCAGAGGTTTGCTCAGATTTTCCACACAAAACCCCCACCTTTGGGAGGAGACCAAATTTGGGATGGGCAGGCCCGGGGAAGGTTCTGGAAAGAGCTCCCACCATGTGGGCTGCTCCTACCATTCGCCGAGAGCCTCTGCGATCAACCACTTGGTAGCAGTAAGACACGGGGTTGGGAGTCAGTGGGACCTAGTTTGACTGCAGCTCAGCCACATCCCCGCTGGGTGCCCTTGGGCACGTCTCATCTCATTGAGATTCTCCAACTGGTGCCTCAGTTGTCTCATCCATAAGGTAGGTCTGAGAACTCCTGCCTCAAAATGTTGTTGTGAAACTCAATAGAGATCATGGATGTGGAAGTACTTCGCACTCTTGAAAGCTGTGCTGTCCAATAGTGTGTAACGCTGCAGCCACGAGCTGCCTGTGGCTATTTAAGATGAAATCGGTCAAAGTTAAATAACATTCAAAATTCAGTTTCTCGGTTGCACTAGCCACATTTCAAGGGCTCAATGGCCACAGGTGGCTCATGGCCACCGTGTTGAACAGAGGATAGCACATGCCCATCATCGCAGGAAGTTCTATTGGACAGCACTGCAAAGCATAAAAACCACCATAACCCCAATGGGAGCAGCACGGGGGCTTCTGAACTTCTCTGCTATGACCCTTTTCCCAGAGAAAGGTAAGGTCAACGCAGGCTCCAGCGGTTCTCAACCTGTGGGTCGCGACCCCTTTGGCGGTCGAACAACCCTTTCACAGGGGTCGCCTAAGACCATCCTGCATATCAGATATTTACATTACGATTCATAACAGTAGCAACATTACAGTGATGAAGTAGCAATGAAAATAATTTTATGGTTGGGTCACAACATGAGGAACTGTATTTAAAGGGCCAGAAGGTTGAGAACCACTGAGTTAGACCAAGCCCTGTGGTCCAGAAGGCAGGGCTGTTTTCCAGGTGTTAAATTGAGCCAGTCCCCTCTCTACACCCGCTACCACCTACCAGGGAAGGCTTTTGTCATCAGCTCTCTCTCTTGGGCCCAGGGACACCTCCTCCCTCCATCTATAACCCCTTAGGGGAGGCGCTGACTTCAGGGTGGTCCCCTTAGGTCTGTGGCCTTCTCCAAGGCCTCCAGTACCACCCCCTCTTGTCTGGAAAATGAGCCTCCACTCCAGATCAGACTCGGGGCCCAGACCCCCCACACCTGAAGCTCAGCTGCTTC